TTTTTGCTATTTGCTATGTGGAACTGGATAGTTGCGGACTTCTGAACAACAATTCGAATGGCATTTTTTTGAATGTCTAAGAGATTATCGACTCCTTTTAGTTCATTTCTTCAAGCACGTTTGTTAGCTCTTCCCTAGTCACTGCGCTGTCAGCGATTCGTTCTATTAGTGTAGGCATCTGAAGCTATGCTGTCTTTCTTTAGACGAATGCCCGCTGTGTGTCGTTGAGCGATCGTGTGATGTGGACGTGTGCAGTCGGGGGGCAGTAGTCGTTTTTCTTTTTCTTAAACACCCCCACATTCAGCGATCGACGCCTGTTCGCCGAGGACTACGACGCTGTCTCCGAGGCCAGGGATCCGGACGATTGGTTGACACATAAATTGAGGAAAGTGAGAAGTAAACGCGAACTGGATCCAGATCAGATGCGACGACGTAACCAGGAGCAAATGCTCCTCGAGGTGGGGACTATAAATTAAAATATGTTTTTTTTTGGATTGGATCAGCTTCACCGTTGACTCCCATTGATCGTCCTATTTACCGTTCAGAACAATTTTTTTTGGAATTTATCCTCAAATGACTTCTCGGGAATTCGCTCTTGTGTGTGGATTCGGCAGGGAAATGGGGGCAGTTCGGCAACGGGGAGGGGCATTTTGAGATTTTGCTACTTTTGCTGACATGTCGGGCCACCTGGAGACAGGATACAGCATCGTGATGTGTGGAATGGTGATGTCCGTACGAGCACCCCCCCCCTTCTCCACACCTGCCTACCAATTCCACACATTTTCCAGTTTTTCATCCAAGGGCCCAAGGATTTTCCGTTGAGTAGGGGGAGGGGTATATACTACACATGAAACAGGAAAAATCACGAAAAGTCAACAACCGGAAAAATTTTTCCCAACGCGGCAAATTTCTCTCAAAGCCACATACGACCCCCCTCTCCCAACAACGACCAAATACGACCCCCTCCCCAGCGGCCAAGTACGACCCCCCCCCATGTGTTTCACACAACGATGCTGTACCCTCTCTGGAGAGCTATTTCATGAGCTCACAAAGGTTGACAGATTTTATCATGGTGGCTGGACAAACTTGCTAGAGCTTCAGGGGTTTCAGCAGAACGAGACTTGAACTGGAAGTAGTGAAGCCTTGAAAGTGCAAAAATGCCCCCACCCCGTCGCCGAACTGCGCCCGGACTTGTTTCCCACGTATTGACAACTCCCTTAACACGGATGCGACATCTGAGTGGCGAAAAACGCCTCATGGTTCCATTTAGAAGGACTGGTGCTGGCAACTGCGACGTGAATGTAAGGCACGTCAGTGGCAGACGGATATCGTACCGAGCTCATTTCAGCCTGGGAGGGGCGGGGTCATTCCGCAGGTTCCCATCAACCACTGCCGACGGCTCCCGTGGAAAACCGTTAATCCCTGTGAGACTGTGCAGTGTCACAAGCTTCCTCAACATCCAAAGGGTCTAGAGGTCTTCAAGGTGAGACGAGTAGTTTGACAGGAATTGGCGGAAGATGCTGTCGCAAGTGCAAAATGCCCCCCCCCTAACCCGAAAGTGCCTATACTTGTGCACAAGGGGTCACACTACACCTGGCGTGAACTTTGATGTAGTCAACAGTGATTTCTGACCGACCTTCGTGAAGTGTAAAGTAGAGGGTAAGTAGTGATCAAGAACTGGCCAGTATCCAGTCAATACCTCTTCTTTTTGTCATTTTTTTAACTTGTTCAAATTTCATCCTCTCTACAGTACTACCATACTCGGGCCAATCCAACTAGACCATTTCTACTGAAGTAAGCTCAAAGAGGGAGATTCTGAAGAGGTGAAAGGATAAGTGGTAGCTTACGAGGTGTAGAGCAACCTACTTTTCTATGGACCATCCTTTTGACGTTATCCAGACATTCGTGAACGCGTTACACGGCGTTGTACGACATACAGTCTTGTTCGCTGTGGACGCTGAGGCGCGTCAGGGGGGGGGGGCTAGGTTTGGCATGCATCGCCCTGTTTCCTCACCCCCCCCCCCCCCCCCCCC